TAGCATCGGCCTAAGCCTTCACGACACTTATAGGGCCATTGTGGCCACCCATCGGCACGTGGCTGGTCGCCAGGTCCTCAGAGGGCTCCTCTCCCCCACCAGGAGGGCTTTTCTTCTTGAGATGGTTCCTCTGGTGCCTCTCGAAGCAGCTGATGGTGGTGTGGCTTTGCCCACGCTCAGAGCAGATGATTGCTGAGGTGGAGTTTCATGAGGGTGGCCTTCTGTGAAAAGCATGAAGAAGACCTTCGGCAGTGCCACGCTGGAGGCACTGGAAAGGAGCCTCGCCTGTGTGGACCTCATGGTGGGTAGTCAAGATCTTCCTTGTGAAGTCCTTCCCACACATGGCACACTTGGACAACTAATCCCCATCACAGGAAGGAAATCTCTTCTCCTTCATAGTTTCCACAGTGCTGGCGGGGCATCCTTCATACACCCTTGCTTTTGCTTTTCCTATATGAAGTGTACAGACCGGGGGTGGTGGTGGTGGTGTCTGGAGGCTCTGGAGGCTGCGTGACTCTGTTCTTCTTCCCAGCTGTCCTCAGGGGAATGGGCTGCTGTGCAGAGCCAGGGGCTTTGCTGCCAGAGGAAGAGCTGCTGCTCATGATCCAGCCAACATATGCTTTTTCTTGTCTTTATTCAGCTTCATGGAGATTTTCTTTTGGCAGGGGGATGCTCTCACTTCTGTTTCCTCATCTCAGTCCCTGGCCTGGCTCCCATTTTTAGCATCCCTTTCATGTCACTTCTATTTTCTTCAAACCACCACACTGTAACCTGCTGGGCAAGACATGAAACAGAACTGCACCTCAGTGCCAAGGCTGGAGAAAAAGCATATCCAGAGCTGTGCTTTTTGGAGGAAGTTCTTGAATTGCCCTAGGTCCTTGTTCAGCTCTTAACTCTGGCATCAAGCTATCCCCTCTGCATCTGCTTCTGCATCATATCATTTGCAAGTTTTGCCAGATGTATATCTGCATTTTATTTTATTTTATTTTATTTTATTTTATTTTATTTTATTTTATTTTATTTTATTTTATTTTATTTTATTTTATTTTATTTTATTTTATTTTATTTTATTTTATTTTTATTTTATTTTATTTTATTTTATTTTATTTTATTTTATTTTATTTTATTTTATTATTTTACTTTATTTTATTTTTATTATTTTTTATTTTATTTTATTTATTGTGTGGAGAATGTTTTATTCCCTTTTTCTTTCCTGATCACTACTCTGATTGCAGCCAACCATGGGAATACAACAGGCTTGGTCACATCGCTGTTGCCCTCTTAGGGCCATGCATGCTGTTATGTCCATCAGCAGCATTTATCCCCTGTATTCATTCATCCATGTTAATTTAAGCACTTAGGAAATCTCAGGAGTTCTTTATTTAAAGCAGACCTGGATGAGTGTGTGGTAGTATCTGATCTGCTGTCAAACCAAGAGCTTATTCCACATAAACTCTAGAAAAATCCCACATTTTCCCACTTTTTTTTCCCTGGAGAAAAAAACAAATTAAACAACAGAAAACACCACATGCAAATCTAAACAATCTCTCAAATATCTGTTATTTTAACCCCACAGTGAAACATTTTGTTTTAGGATAGTGTTGACTCTGAATGGAAACAAGCAGTCCTCCATCCTCCAAAAATGAAAACCTTTCATTTATTTTTTAAATAAAATGGTTTTTAAACTTTAAAAAGCTTTCCTGGTTTTACAATTAGTTGTCCTCGTTTCCCCCTTTTTTCTGTCAGCTTGAAGTATTCATGAACTTGTAGCAAAGTGAAAAAATTTCCAGAGGAACAGAAGCTTCCTTTCCCCCTTTACTTTAAAATGCTTCTTGGTCCCATGCCAACTTGTGGCCAGAGGGACCTCCAGGATGAATGGCTCCTTTGGCTCCTTGGCTGGGATTCAGCTCAAAGTCAAAAAGCCTCAATGAGGTACCTAAATTCAAGTGTCTACAAATGAGACCAAGGGAGACAGGAGACCACAGCAGCAGGACAGGTGCTTTAATCCCAACTTAACGCTCTTGCAGGGGAAGCTACTGAATTTTGGGTGGTCTGTCCAAGAAAAGTCACCACATGGTCCTTACCTCCTGGTCACATCTGAATCTTTAACTGGAGAGAGCACCAGGGCTGGTGCCTCTGAAACAGCAGCTCCTCAGGGAAGAGGCCAGACAGAAGTAGGAGAGACAAAAATCAGCTTGGGGTGGAAGAAAAGAGTGAGCAGCAGCCTCCCCTGGGACAGTGGTCCTTTTACAAAGGAAAGCAGCATGCTGTAATCATCTCTTGGTCAATTAGCAGAGAGCCACAGGCCAGCACTGCCCACCTCACCCACCCCATCTTTGGGGCTGCTCTTATTTCCAGGCTAACTCTGACCCTAGAAAAGGAGGTCACTGATTTTTCTATGACCTTGTTCGGAAAGATTGCAGGTGGGGACCTCTCATACTCTCAGTCTTTGCTCCTTCAAAGCAGACCTCTTAGTGCCAAAGCAGACTTCTTGTGCCTTGTTCCAGCACAAGAAACCTCTTTCAAGGAAGGAGCTGTGCTTTTGGTCAGGAGATGAAGGCAGTGGATCCAGAGGGACCTTGGCAGATCAGCTTGAGAACCTGGTCCTAGCTGCACCACAGATGGCATGAGAGGTGGCTAAGGGGGTGGGAGGTAAATAGTCATTCCCCATGGAGACTGCTCATCATGAGCAAATGAAGGATGTATGGAAGGGTGTGATGGTGAGTGTCCTGTTGCTCGTCCAGTTTTCACAGTCATCTTCTCCTTCTCCTCACTCCCTATCTGTGGGGACACCAGGCTCCCTGCAGCCTGGGATTCTTGAGGAAGTTCTCACGGGAACCGTCATGTTCTCAAAAGGCAAGTAAACATCCCAGGGTACTTATGTCTGAGCAGATGTTTGCTCTGGCCCCACAGAACCTCTCGTTCCCACCATACCATAACGTGCTGAGCACCAAGCAGCTCTATGCGTCCCATCAAAGCACAAAATACACGCTCTTGTGAAAGTGCTCCCCAACACAGCCTGCCCCCGTCTCTCCTCCAGGCATGCTGTATGCTGGAGGCAGAATGATGCTGAGCTGGTATGTACAGCCAGGGAGTCAATGAAATGTTCAAAAAAAGCCTCACAGCCAAATTCCTCCTGAAATCTACAGAAATAATGGACATGGTTAGAAAAAGTACGGTGAGTGTCTCAGTACAAGCCCTTCCTATCCCACTGCGCAACACTGGAAGAGTTCTTTTAAAAAGTCATTGGAGCTTGGATCTCTGACCCTTAACTTGACAATGTTTGCTGTGATTTAACTCCGCTGGCTTCAGCCTGACCACACTGAATTTACTGGGGGCATCCCTTTCACTCGGTGACTGAAACTGCTTAGTGAAAGCTTACAATGTGGTTTTCTGCGTAAAATCTGTGAAGTGAAGAATAAAGAAGAAGGAAGTGAAGAAAATTTGGATTTTAAGCATTTTATTATTACCCAGGAGCTCTTTTAATTTAGGGAGAAAAGGAGGAAGGCTATTTTGCTACCAGGGTGGGTGAGGATTTGGCGTTGTTCTGTTCCCAGATAAATCCATTTTCCCTCAAGGAGCTTTGATCATTGCATGGGCCTGATCCCAACACCCAACATGACCAGCAGCAGCAGACGCCAGATATGGCAGCCCAAACTATCTGCAAGGTAGCTCTATGGGGGGTCCTTAAGGAAGTCATAATGTCTTGTCCCCTTGTTGGGCAGACCCTGGTGGTACCAAGGAGGTTCTGCTTCCAGCACTGTGCCCCCACAGGTGGGACAAGAAGGGTAGAGATTACCTCATATATGAAAACAGCCATATTTAGGGCATCATTTCAGGTTCTAACACTATAGTGTCATTTGAGATGGTCTCACACATTCTTCCTGACCTCCAGTTGCTCATCCAGAAAGGTCAAGGCCTTCCGTAAGGCCTGTGTCAGTATGTGCCAGCCCTGTGCAGATACCTTATGGCACTACACACGGTACCTGTGTGTGGGTATGGTGGTGAATTCCCCTGGTCTCCTCAGTTGATCCTTCACCCATAACCCTGCTCAGGCAATAACCATCAGTGGTGGCTGTGATGAACACATCTGGCCTTGAGAGCCAAATTTGGTTCCAGTTTCATAATCATAAATCCAAAGACTAACCAGATATGGCTGGTGCACAAACAGGATGAGTAGTCAATCGTCTTACCCCATAAACAGGGGACAGCCCAGAGCCCATGGAGCTCTCCTGTAATGCAGTGGGCTTCATGCCAGTGTCTTCCCCTTGAGCAGGGATGCTCCTCAAGGTTACTCCTTGAGGTCGAGAGATTCCTTACCTATGGCAGATAGCAAGCAACTAATAGCTCGCTTGCTGAAACTTTACAAATGATTTGCTAAGCACACTGAAACTTTGTAATCTTAGCTAAGTAATATAAAGGATTGATTGTGCATATAATCCTTTAGGCAGAAACTGTTAAATCCGGGATTGGGATAGGATCCAGTCATATCTAGACTCTTTGAAGCTTGGATGGCAAAAGGGACTCCATTCTGCACCTTGTGACTCAACAGAAGGGTCTCTGATGCTTTTAGTCTGACCCTATCTTCTATGCAGTAAATAATCAAGTGACCTTGCCATCACGAACATTGCTAATGTCACATTTACCATTAGATCTTTGTTCAATTGCCATCTCATTCACAATTAAGCCCTGCTAAATCACTATTTTCATCAATAAATATATTGCTGCTTCTGATAGTACATAAGTCCTTTTGTGAAAGGAATGGGTCACCGGCTGGAGCCCCAGGGTCTGTACGTTGGGGTCTGAGCTTGCAGAGCAGTTCTTGGAGAGCTGGTCAATGCAGTCAGCAGAGCCCATAAGGCTCTTCACAACTACGTCCATTTGGCCACCACTTGCTCTGGCATTTTGTTCTGTATTATGGGTAGAAAGTAGTATGGTTCTCTCAGTGACAGCTAATGAAAGCAAAACCACAAACAAATAGAAAAGAGGCTCACTTTGTGTGCTTTTGTTCTTTAAATACTTACTTTATTGAGAAGATATTACAAACTTTTAACACGGATTTTCTCCAGAAGCTGGGATACCCACACTGGCCAGTGCAAGACCCAGTGATGGACAGGAACGCTACTGACGTTGACTCACTGCCTCGTCCAGGTCAAAGGAAGGGCACAATAATACAACAGGAAAAACTCCCATACCAGATCCTCTTGCTGGTAAAATCTTTTACAGCACTGTGCTAGTCTAAGAAAGAGGAAATAAATGCCATCCATCTGGTGATTACTTTCTCCCCAGTGAAGGGCTCTGATGTACCTCTGCTCCTCAGCAAGCCTAACAGGAGCTGTATTGCTTTGCAAGATGGCTTAGCCATGTTCTTTCTGAGGAACACATCTTCCCAACCTAGACCAATTCTTCTAGAAAGGGTGACCCTTGGACTCCACTAAAACATCCTGAACTTGTGGTTTACCCCTGTATATCTACCTTTTCTGCCCAGAAATGATTCGCAACCAAGCCAGAGAGATTTGAGGGGAAGCTTTCAGATCAACCAACTTGGCTATGGTTCACAGCTGAAGGCTTGGATAGAGAGCTTCCTTCAGAAGCTGAATCAGAGCTTGTCTCGTTTGAAATCACATCCTAGGCATGACTATACTGAAGGCTGAGAGACTCTAAACACCAAAATTATGCTGTGCTTTTAGGATTTGGCAGCTGTATGCAGTGTTGGGCTTGAGTCACCACAACAAAACACCTCATCACGATGGTGTCCAACTAGGTGGTAGAGGTAAAATGAAAGTACCATTTGTCCTGTTCCCTTCCTAACCTTTGTGCCTCAGTTTTCCTGCCTGGAGAGGCAGCTGTTGTAAAGCAGTCAGTGCAGCCAAACGGTAGTTTGGGTCCAAAGTGTCACAGCAGGTAGCTGCATGACTTTCAGTGCCATCTATATGATGCCTTCTGCAACATATCCTGCAAAGTGGAGGTATGTGCCTCACAGATGGGGGGGGAGGGGGAGGGAGGGGCTTCTTTTTCTGCACAAAACCAGAGAGGTAGAGATACTACTTCACCGTGGAGCACTTTCCCACTTGCCCCTTGGACTCTACATATTACAGCAATACAACAAGCCCTAATACGTGTCTTTAATTAACTGTGCCCAAATGGCCACATAGCGGTGCTGCAAAGAAATATTGGGGAGTGGCTCACGGATTCACGGACTCCTTCCACATCCCCATTTCACCAGGGAATTTCTAGACACAAAGATCCCTCTGGCTGGGGAACACTCAAACACCATCGTTGGCAGTAAGTGATAAAGAACTCTCCATGCTTTTGAGTAGCTGCACAGTCCTCTTTACACCAGGGACAGGAAGAGAAAGCATCAAAGCATCTCAACAGGGAAATAGTTTCCAGTTTTCTCGTCCATAGTCTGAAGACCCGTTCAACTAATCCTGATGCTTGATTTGAATTCCCTAAATAATGCCCAGTAAAGTCAGTATCCTACCACAAGCCTCACAGTGACAGGCAGAGAAGCAGGCAGCTGAGAAGCAGCACCAGTGACAGCTCAAGCTGGTGGTCGCTGATGCCTCTGGGACTTGTGGCAAAGGCAGTCCTGGTTCATCAGAGACATAAAAGCACTGAATGCTAAGAAAAGTCATTCTCAGTTACATCCAAGCAGTGGGGCAGTGGGAGAGAAACCAGAACTCAAACTGCCAGCCTCTGGGCCAGCTTTGAAAAACAGTCATTGGTTTTGCTTAATTTACTTTCAGGGACTTGGCTTAAACCAACCTGGGAACCTGGTTTGGGGCATTCAAGGCTTAAAACCCTTGTCTGGTTGGCAGCAATTACTCCCAAATTCATACCACTCATTGACTAGCAATTCAGGTCCATCAGCCCAGTGGGATTCAGGTGTGGATCAGAGCCACGAGAGGGGGAAGAAGAAAGTGGACCCCTTCTTTAAGCCCTTGCTTCAATGGGCTAGGATCCCTCCAACTTTCTCAGAAACACAGTGATATAATAAAAATAACCCCCCCCCCCAGCCCTCCTGGCTACACAATGCCCACGTAAAACAATTTTGACATCCACAATTTTGGCAGGCCTTAGAGGAACAAGCATTCCAGTACCAAGGATGCCAAGACCTCATCCCTCCATCTCCAAGTAGATTTAGATCAGATGTTAGGAAGAAATTCCTTCCTGTGAGGGCGATGAGGCCCTGTCCCAGGCTGCCCAGAGGAGCTGTGGCTGCCCCATCCCTGGCAGTGCCCAAGGCCAGGCTGGATGGGGCTGGGGGCAGCCTGGGCTGCTGGGAGGGGTCCCTGCACATGGCAGTGGATTGAAATTAGATGGACTTTGAGGTTCCTTACAACCCAAACCATTCTGTGATCCTAAATGCTCTGAAGAGGCTTGGCTTTTCAGCTCTGCCTCACAAAGGGTGAGCAAAGGATACCCTGAGGCCATCCTCAACAAACAACAGAAGGAGACCAGTTTCTGTCAGGGCTCTGCCTCAGCCTCGCTGTCCCCTCATGTTACCCACCCCACCCTGTGGTACCACACACACACGGCCGACAGACTTCGTCTCCCAATTTCCCAAAGGGTATTCCCCCACAAGCAGGTCCCAGGCCCTCTCAACTCTCCTCTTCACTTTGCATGGGGACCAATGCTCCCTGCTCCATATGGTGGGGCCCACCACCAGTCCTCATGTCCTCCCCATGCTTTGTGTGGGGGGCAGATCCTTCCCGCGCATGGATCTTCTGGTGCCTCCTCAAGTACTTCTTCAGCCGGTAGCGCTTCCCGCAGGCCCCGCACTTGTAGGCTCCCCCTCGGGAGTGGAGCAGCTGGTGTTTGATGAGATGGCGCTTCTGGGGGAAGCACTTCCCGCACTTGGTGCACTTGCAAGGCCCCATGCGGATGTGGATTGTTTGGTGTCGGAAGAGATTGGCCTTCTGGTTGAAGGTTTTCTCGCACTCGGGGCACTGGTAGGGCTCCTCCTTGGTGTGGATCCTCTGGTGCCGAACCAGGTTTGATCGCTGGGTGAAGCTCTTCCCGCACTCGGTGCATTTGAAGGGCTCGCTCATGTGCAGCCGCTGGTGCCGGATCAGCTTGCGGTTCATGCGGAAGCTCTCCCCGCACTCGCTGCACTTGTACGGCCCCTCGCTCGTGTGGATCTTCCGGTGCCTGGTGAGGTTCGATTTCTGATTGAAACTCTTCCCACACTCGGGACAGGGGAATATCCGTTCACCTTTGGGAGCTCCTTTCATTGGGAGATCCTTCTTGGACTTGGATTTCTCCTGGGTCTCCAGTATCCCCTCTTTGGTGGGTTGATCGCATTTCTTTGGCCTCCTCCTTGGGCTCAGGCACTGCTGGTGGTCAGCCTCCACGCCAGCTTCCTCTTTAATCTGGATCCTCTGGATGGCACTGAAGTTTGGTCTCTGCCCACAGTGGATCCCAAACTCAATGCTTTCCTGTGGCTCTTCCTTCACCTGGAGCACCCTGTTACCTGCTACAGGAACTTCCCAGTCATGCTGCCCATCACCATCTCCTTCCTTTTTAACCTGTCTTTCTGATAAAGCCGTCACTGGGATCTTTGGATCAAAGAGCTTTCTATAGTCCACATTTTCTTCTGGCTCTTCCTTGATGTAAGGTTTCTGGCAGGCTATTGCAGTAATGTTTTCTGTGTCATCACTGGGTTCCTCCTTTGTCTGGGTTTTCCATGGAGGACTTTTTGGATCAGATGGGTTTCTAGGTGCGCTACACCCCTGGGCTCCACCTCCTTCATAAAGCATATATTCCAATACAGTCTCTTCTGACTTAAAGGCAATGTCAGACTCCTCTTTAATCTGGATGACCTGGAGAGACACACCATTGATGTGCCCCTCGAATGACTTTTGCTTCGCATGGTTTCTCTGGTGGACATTGAAGTACCGCTTGGTGCTCAAGCTCTTCCCACACTCAGTGCATATGAAAGGTCCCCCCCGAAGGTGTATCTTCTGGTGGGCCAGCAGCGTGGCGCTCTGCCCAAAGCACCTACCGCAGTCAGGGCACTTGAAGGGCTTCTCCCGCTTGTGGATCTCCTTGTGGGCGGTGAGCGTCCCCTTCTTCACAAAGCTCTTCCCGCACTCGGTGCAGGCGAACGGCCTCTTCTCCGTATGGGTCCGCATGTGGATGCTGAAGTAGATCTTTGTGCTCAGACTCTTGCCGCAGCGGGCACAGAGGTAGGGACCACCCTTGGCGTGTGTCTTCTGGTGGGCGGCCAGGCATATCTCCAGGCGAAAGCAGCGCCCGCACTGCCTGCAGCGAAAAGGCCTCTCTCCCGTGTGGATGCTCTGGTGGGTCGTGAGGTGGCCCCGGGTGGTGAAACGCCTCCCGCACTCCCCGCAGGTGAAGAGCTCCTCCGCCGTGTGGATCCGCTGGTGTCTCTTCAGGTTGCCCTTCTTGCTGAAGGACTTGCCACACTCCTGACACGCGTGTGTCTTCAGCACCACGCGCTTCACCAAGTCCTTCATGGTGGCAGAGCGTTGTGCCCAGCGTGGTGGCACCACAAAGCCACGGAGTGGTGGGAACGGACTGCCTGGGTGGGTAGAGAAACCATCAGGACATGCACATCAAAGTGTACTTTTTGTACTTTAATGGATGCATTTTATTCCCCATGGTGAATAAAAGGGTACTGCCTATGAATGCCAGCTCTAGGCCAACAAGGAGTGGGTGGTCTTCTTCATTTCTCAGCCTCCTTTCACCTCAGCTGCAGACGCAGTGCTTGTAACTCCATCTCCTGCCTGCTCTGATCTCCTGGAGAAGCTTCCTTGGCATTCACGGAGACTCCGACTGCTGGACTGAAAACATAAAGGGAAAATTAAAGCATTATTTTTACTCCACCAGCTTTGTTCACTAGGTAGACACAACGGGTGGCACCTTGGCTTCTCCATGGGGGCCTGAAGCTGAGACCTTTGAGGCCTTAGCTCCACTGGACTCCAACAGAGACAGCAGGGGCAGGCTAATTTCCCCTGGCAATGCAGGGATTTGAAATGCCCTCATTGCTGCAATGACACTGAGGTTTCAGCTCTACTATTGCTGCACTAGTGATTTACTCTCAGAATAGTTCTTTGGCCTTTTCCCAAGAAGATTTATAAGTAAACGATCAATTTACACACTTGCAGTACAACTTGCAGTTACACTAGCGCAGTAACTGTTGTAATTGTTCCCATTTTTTAAGGAGTGACTGTCCAGCAACCAAAATCCCTCAAGCCTGAGAAAGCCAAAGAAAACCAAACTTGACACCAACTGCAAAACTGGAGTGTGCTGCTTTGGGCTGGCAGACCTTCATGCAGAGGGGAAGGCAGGTCAGCGATGTCCTCGGTGTGCAGCTGGAGAAGTGAGAAGAAGAAAACTAAAGCAACTTTGTCCTCTTCACAGAGGGTTCAATCAGCAGCAGGGCCTGCGTCCTATGGATTGCCATTAAAAAATAAATGAGGGCCAAGGGAGATGTGAGCAACATCTCCTATCAAGACTGTGAATTCCAGCAGGGAAAGGAGCCAGAAGGACCAAGGGGAGGAAGATGTTGATGCTAGAAGTGTCTGTCAATGAAAGTATATGTGGCTGGCCAGGCTAATACTGATGGCACTGATGGCTGAAGGTGCTGCTGCCAAAATCACCAGATATGGGGCAGGCTGCCAGCAGGGACACGGGCTGCCAGTGAGGTCTGTCCCTGCAGCTCGGGGTGGCTGGGGATGCTGCAGCTAGGAAGATGAGAACCTGGGGAGCTGGTCACAGAGGTGTAGGGGCTGGGAAGTGGGGTGTGCCATGGGTCTGGGGATAAGCAAATTTGGAGTATAGACATCCCCATGCAACAGAAGTGCAGAGTTTGCAGCTGTACACTCCTCAGAGGAAAAGGCTCCAAGTGGTAAATGAGGAGGGACAGCTATTTCTGATTTCAGAGGACAGTTATAATGGGGAAAGTTATTTCAGATTTAGTCACAGCGTTTGTTCCCTTCAGGTGACCCAGCTGGCTCCCCACTTATGTCTGGAGGTGGCTCCACCACCAGATCACAACAGTGTCTCTGTCTAAGCTGAACTCACCACACTGGACAGAAGAACTACAGAAAAAAAGATAATATATAAATAGATAAATAAACATATATATATATATATATATAAACTCAACTACCTGCAAACTTTCTTGAGTCAGAAGAGACAAAGCACACAAACCTGGAGCAGGATCTGGGTCTAGAGTTTGCTAGTGGAGGGGAGGCTTCTTGGGGGCCAGCCCTCTCCACAGGTTGGGGAGCAGATATTTGCCCCTACAACTTGTTTTAATTCAGCAGACCAAGCCTCAGCATCAGCCAGGCTGCAAAGAGAGCTCAGTAATATTCAAAAGCACCTTTTTTACCCAGGAAGGTCACCAAGCCCCTGGGCAGGCAGTGGATTCAGCCTCCAGCCACCAAGGACCCTGCAGCAGGGAGATCTGTAACAGTGCTTCACTTGCCTCCGGGTTTGGACAAAAAGCACCAAATTGAAATTAGCATAAACTAAATTGCAATTAGCATAAAAGAAGAAATTCCTCCCCGCTTTCTTCCTTTCCTTTTCTTTTTAAGCATCCAGATCCTACAGATCCAAATCCCGCCTTTCCTTCCAGCTCTGCAACCAAGGGCAGCATCAGATCGCAGGGAGGGTCGCTTCGCATCGCATTCGGGCTACCCGGACACATCGGTTGGCCCGAAAAGCATCTTACCTGGGCGAGCCATCAGCCCCTGACTGGCATTTCTCTCCCGCGGGGCAACCAGGGCCACCGACGCGCTTGCCACTCGCCCACGAACCGTTCTGCGGCCGCAGCTGGGCTGACCTAAAGGAAGTCTGCGGCCAGCTCAGCGAGAGCTACCGGAGGAAGGGTGAAGCTGAACAAAGGCAGGGAGCAGGGGCTGGAGGAGCAGGGGGCGGCCGATGGACGAGGGTTCCCACGCCACCACTGCACCGCTGTTGGTGGTAGCACTGGGGGGAAGAGGAGGAGAGCCCAGTCCCATGAGCATCCCTGTGGTCCCCCGGCAGCCTGGGGCTGGGGAGGGGAATGGGAAGGATTGGGGGAGGATTAGGGGGGTCTCCGTGCTGCCTCCTGGGAGTTGTAGTTCTTGGCCAGGTCAGGATGCGGCCGCTTCTGGCAGCAGCTTGATGTGCAGCTGCTGTCTTGGTGCTGAGCGCATCCTTCCTCCCTCCCAGGCTGTGTGCGGCTGGGAGCTGCTCAGGGTGGTGTTGGGGGTGGAAAGATGCGGGACAGGGGGCACTGCTCTGACCCCACGGGGGGAAGCAGCCAGCGAGGCTCCGCACCAGCAAAGGAGCCCTCGTGGTGCTGGCTGAAAGCACAAAGGTAACACACAGGTTGTGCAAAGTGGACACCGAGGTGACATAGTCCGGCACAGAAACCACTGAAATGTCACAAGCTGAGCACCCCAAGGCAATCAATTATTCATCTTTAAAAATAAATAAACATTCAGTACTTAACTTTGCATCAAACAGATGTTTCGTTTGCTCTGATTGTTTGAAATATTCCTAAAACTTAGGAGTGACCCAGCAAAGCAATGAAACAAAATAGAGCACTACTAAATCTGCTATCAGGACATATTTTAATGCAACACTAAGCTGCATGAAATTGTCTTTAATTATAGCAGTAATTATTAAAAAGCAATGATGTTCTTCTTGGATTTGCATCTTTCAAATGGAGAGATACCAACAGCAGTTGGGAATTAGCAATTACTTCTTGTACCTCACAGACTGATGGTTGGGCTTGATGATCTTAGGGGTGTTTTCCAAGCTAAATAGTTTTATGTTTCTGTGAGTTAGCAGAGCGGTGAGCAGCACCTGAGAGAAGCTGAGCCTCATCAGGACCTCACAGAAAGTGCTCAGACCTTCTGGAGTCTGCCTGGGACTCTGCAGAGAGCCCCAGGCTCGGCTGTTTCTCTCCAAGGGATTTAGGAACATGTGCAAGAAGGAAAACTGCTTCAGCAGGATGGGTCCTAGGGGCAGGGGGTTAAAGGATGGCCTGGTTTTGATACTGGGCAATAACAAACCACCACCTCCAAGCTTGCCCTAAGCGTGGCACAGGGCTGCAAACATGCTCTTCTCCTGGTCTTGATTCAGGGAAACTGAGGCAGGAGATGGTGAGGTGCCTGGCTCAGCTCACACAAGGAAGATCAAGGTTGCAGGGCTGCTGGAGTTCAGATGTTGTCTCCGCACTGTATGTGCCTTGGCTAAAGGCTCCTGATGTATTTTTTACCCCAGTCCAAACCACTAGCACAAGGTAGCAGCAGGAGCACTATGAGCAGTGGAGGTGCCCCTCCATGCCAGCTGGTATCCCAGTCCAGGGGAGGAGGAAATCATACAGAACTAACCATCTTTATACCACACATACACGGCAGAAGACACACAAATATCAAGTTTGCCTTACTCAGGTCCTGTTTCAGTGCGTGAGATTGTCCCACAACAGGTCCTAGACTGGCAGGGCAGACCCCAAAGGAAGGCCACAGGTGTGCTGAAGCAAGATCTCTCACATGTAGGGCTCCTCAGGCAATACACCTCCCTTTTTCCATCCTTTCCACGGCCCTAATGTCTTCCCACTACCCCTGCCTCCCCCTGGGACCCAACTCTTTGATGATGCCACTCATCAGCTTCACCCAGACTCTGCCTCTGCGACGCACCACTAGATGCCAGTGAAAGCTCTTCCCAGCCTGCTCCCGCTTAGGAAACCTCACACTTTGGGCAATTTGATTTGTTTTATTGTATTTTTCACAAGGTAATCCTTCACTTTTGATCTAATAAGGGCTCCTTGCATCTGGGAATTTGGGTGGTGCACATAAATATATGTATGTGTGTGTGTGCTTTGTGTATCTTATCTCTCTCTCCTTCATTCTGTTTCTCTCTCTGTTTCTTAAATATGTATATTCAATAATTTTGAGGGGGCTATTCTTTAGATAAGAACTCCTTCCCAGTGCCTCCCCAGACCAAGATCTCACCCTCTTGCTTCTTTTTTCATCCCCTTTCCTATCAAACACCCCAGCTCCCCAGACCCTTCACTTGCAAAATCCTTCAACCCATCACGACCAGATGTGCTGACATGGAGAGCCAGGAAACACACAGCTTTCCAAGCCCAGTCTTGCTCTGGGAGATGTTCCCTCATATCGTATCATATCAGGCAACCAATAAGCAGGATATATGCCCACCTTTTCCAGTTATTGAGAAAATAGGTCCAGCTCATCCAGCCTGGGAGCAGGGGAGGGGATGGTGGGGCAGAAGTGAGTCAGGGCAGTAGTGCAGGTACCCACTGGAGTATGTTGGGTGTTCAGTGTGAAGGTGAGATGAATGAAAGCAGTAGGCACTGTAGTACTAGGAACAAAACCCTACATGGGGAAAGGGTGAAAAATAGATAAAGCCCACAGCCTCCTACACCAACAAGCTCTATGCTGCACTTCCCTGCTGTGGAGATCAGTGTAGGTCCAAAACAATCTCACATTTTTTGCTTTTTGTGCCTGGAGTTCTGCATGTTGCAGAGCATCGTCCATCCCAAGTCCCCCACTGCTGTTTGAGCGAGGTTTAAGCCTTCGAGCAGCCTCTCGGACTCGCATGCATCCCTCTTCCTCACTTGGTCAGCCGAGGTCCAGGCAGACCGGACTGTCCTATGGGCACTCAGAGTGAAAGCAAAGCTCAGCAGCGGGCTGCAGGAGGGATGTGTGTGTTGTGTGCATGTCCTTTATGTGTCAGGCACAGCCACGCTCACTGCAGAGGACCTTCAGGGTTAGGAACATCTTCCCCTTTGGGCAAGACGTGCTTTGGTGTTAGGTTCTCCAGTGCCTCCTCTCGCTCTCTGACATGCCTGATGCTGGTTGCTGTTGGAGACAAGATTCTGGGCTCAGTGGGGTAAAGGCAATTTCTGTGTTGCTTTCTCAGACAAATCCAACTCTGTGTTTGCCCGGCTAGCTGTATCCAACGAGGCTGCACAGGAGGAGTGAGAACTAAATTTAAGCCTAGCTGTCATATGCTTCAGTGCCTGATAAATTATACAATTAAAGAAAAATGGAGTTCGGCAAAATAAAGGAGGAGGGGAAGAAAAATGAAATCTTCACCCTGCTTTACAAAGGAAATATCGCTGCAGGTTTTATTAAAGATGCCACAGTTAATCACATCAGGAGGCTCAGGCTTGCTCATGCTGGGTACACACCATGCAGGAGAGCTGGACGATGCAGCAGGGAAAGATAAGGAAGGAGGAAGCCCAAGAAGTTATTTGTTCAGGTGAGCCCGTGATTGTTCCCAAGATTTGCAAACACGATAGGTACCAGCTGAGGCTGAGGGGGCCCGGTGCTGCCTCATTACACTGTAGGTTGTCTTTATTAATTTAGGAAACAACTCTCAGTAAGGTAAGCGTGATAAAGGAGAATAATGTTTAAATGACAAGTGGTTTTCCATGCTGTTTTTTTTTTCTTTTTTTTTTCTTTTTTTTTTTTCTTTTCTTTTCTTTTTTTTTTTTTTTTTTTCCCCACCTGGCTTTCCTCTAATTGCCTTTGAGCATCTGATTAGGAAGGAAAGCTTTTTTTTTTGTTTTGTTTTCAGCCCCCACCTCCTACAGCTTCATCATGCAGCCCAAGCCCACATCTTCCCATCCAGTGGCCGTGAAAATAATTAAGGTGTCTGTGTCAGCTTCCATATCTACCACACTCAGCTGATAAGGGTCAGAAATGAAAAACTGGTTTAAGCACAAAAATCCTGGCACTGATTTTAAACAGGTCCAGGTCACAGTGACCCACCTGTGTGCCCTGCAGGTCCAAAGGTGGCTGGGGCTGGTTGGAAGGGGGCTCTTGGCCACCAGCATGTTTGGTGGCTTGGTCTGGCTGCCTGGTGGCTGTCAGCGTAGTGGTACCAGCACGAAAGTGATGGGCTTCTTCTCCAGGGGCACAGTGGGAGGGATCCAAATCTGCCATGGGAGCTGTATGGGGGATATTTGTTATCCTTCACCTTGCGCCTCTTTAGCCAACCTGTATCCTGGAGAGCTTGTCTGCCTGTGCCGCAACAGTGTTGTTTATTTAGCATTCTGTAAGTGATGCAGAAAAAGAGCTCCTCATCCCTAGAGGGACACTTATTGTCTCTTTTTCAAACACCTCCTTAGTCAGCTACATCCTAATTCACCCCTATGTTTTGGGACTCATCAGTTTTAGACTTGAGGAGCAGCTGGTAATGAGCTCTGCTCTGGCCACTTGCATACCTTCCCTGTACACCTCCTGCTTAACACAGCCACTTTCCCTGTGCCTTTCTAACAAACCCTCCAGTGCTCTTGCTCTCCTGGCTTCATCCTTCCTCGAGAGAGCAACCCCTTAGGCCCTCCCTGCCCATAATCACCTGAAACCAATTTGCAGATGCTACCTGCCCCCTGATGTCCTTCATTCACCACATCCCACTGAGAGGCAGACAACCATTTAACCCCAGGACTCACAGGTGTCTTGCAAGCCCAGATTATTAAAGCAGAGCCTGGGCTTCAACCCGACTTGTGCTGGTGCCTCAGTTTCCCTATGTGAAGGGCAGTGTGGGCAAAGTGCATGGGGCTGGGAAGGGGAAGTCTTTTTCACATGCTTGCAGCAGAGCTGGGCTCCCTGGTGGTGAGAGAAGTTTGTATTCAGTGGAAAAAGTTCACAGGCATGATTCATCTCCTTTAGGCTGAGATGAATCCCACCCCAGCTGGGTTCAGCACAGATGTGCCCGTGTTGCCCTGTAGATCCTGCTGCCTGCCCCAAGGACCCAGCCTTGCTGCGCTGGGTCCCCTCTTCCCCTGACTCCTGCCAACCCTGATCCTCTCCAAGATTCATCAGCAGAGGCTAAAGGAAAGAGGCAGGTGTGAATTTACCCATGGGGAAGCCATGAAGGTGTTATCCCTCCTCTGATGCTGCCTGTGTCACAAGATACAAGGCTTGAGGGAACCCCAGCACACCCTGCTGCACACGACTGTGAACATTTACAGGAGAGCTGCTAATAGATGTGAAACTACATCCCCTAGGCTGCCCTGCTGCATCCATCTTCCTCTTCCCTTGTCTTCTATGATGAAGGATGTTTTCTCCATCCTTGCACTGCTTCCTAGGTATATCCTCCACATGTAGTAACAACACAGCCTGGGAGGGGAGCAGCATCCACTCTCTGAAGCACAGAAAATAACAGCCCTGTGCTGAAATGTTCAT